ACCCCTTGCAAATTTCTCCCCCTCTCTAGAATTATGTGCATGTAACTTTCTAGGGTGTATTTCTGTCCCTCAGCTATGCTTTTGTTCCTGCTAAAAACACTAAATGAAGCTTACACTTAATGTCTGTTCAGGTTTTCTACAAATTGAAGATTCTAGAAAATAAGGTGTGATCTGGAGGTACAAACTTAATTTTCCACAGTTAAAAAATTAATAGATGCTTATTACAGAAAAATGGAATGGAAAGTTTTTTTTAAACTCCTCTCCCACCATCCATAGATAGGCATGGATAATATTGGTAAATAATTCTTTTTCTTTTTCCCTATCCTTCACTGTCACTCAGCAGCCCGTCACAGACTGGCCTCTCCCAGGGTCAAGATCTTGACCTTTGACCTTGCAAAGACAGCTAAGTCTTTTCATCAGGTCAGCCACTACGAAATACCAGTCTCTTCTAGAGCCAGAACCCAGAGGGAGAAGGAAAGGGTAAGAGGAGGAAGGCACACTTGCCTCCAGGGAGCATTCAAGAAAGGACATTAAGTTGGGAAATTGCACATACAAATCGCACAATGCAAACAGCAGCCATTTTATACATATACAGTGTCTCTTATCAGAGGTTTTTATTGACTCCACTTCCCCTTCTGTAACAAGCACCCCTCTCCCAGATATCACCTTTCTCTTCAAGACTAGAACCCTAAAGATGCATTAAACATAGTTTAGGAGTTTCTCATTCTGTCCCTGACCTTAGGAGCCACTATTATTTCTCCTAAGTACCTTCACTGCCCTACCTTGCTGTGAGGAGTCCTCTTTACTGGTGCTGCTGGCCTCATCCTTCATCTCTGCTCCTCTCAGAGAAGCATCCTTGTCCTAGACTTGGGCTGAGGTCTCAGCTAAGCCCTTCTTCCTTTCCATACCTGGATTGGACATCTGGTTTCCCCAATGGGCCATTTCACTTTAAATTTTTTTTAATAGTTTCTTCTCTTCCAGAAAATAGGAAGTAAATTCAGGAAGTGTGTGGCCAAAGGCAGATGACAAAAAATGTGTAGGAGCCTTCACAGTGATCGTCCATGGTGGGACCCCAGCAACTCAGCTGCAGGAGGAGGCAGTAGGATGAGGGGGGCCCACTGGACACTCTCCAAAGATCCTGCACATATTCCAGGAGCATCATGTGTCTTTAAAGTCTGTGACCTTGAGGGATTTCTATGGGTCATGATTTTGTGAATTGTCCTCAGCAATGCTGGTCTAAAATATATGAGCCCTCTCCTCACACTTTTCTCTCATACCCCTCAGCCCTTGCTTCAGAATAAAGGCAATTTTGATGCTTTACTAAACAGTCATTTCTCCGTGCTTGTTACACTACTGCTTGGAACAGTAGTCAACAGATCTTATTAGCATGTTTAAAAGGACTCTAAAATCAAATCAATTTGAGAAATGCTGGATTAAACTAAATCAAACATTTTTTCAAGATTTATTAAACCCTTAGGAAGTAATTGTACATTTGACTCTTCAAAGGAATATGGTATGCACCATCACCCAAAGTTATTCAACTGCAAAGCCTTTTCTTCTCATATATATTTTAGTGCAGATATTCCATGGAATACATTTTGGGAAATTCTGGTGATCTGAACCCAACATATGAGGTAGTAAGGGCATAAGTTGGAGACTTCTGTAGAAACAAATGAACAAAAAATGACTTTAATGAAGAATATTGCACACATGTAATTATAATAAAAATTTCCTTATTTTCTCTTGGGAATTACTCATTTAGTTGAATACTTTCATCGTGATTAATTTTATTTGTGTTTTCTGTCCACTACATGCATCTTTTTGCTTTACTATTTACTATGGCTTTGTACCAAGCAATGTTCTTAGTGTTTTACACGTGTTATCTCATTAAGTTTCCACAATAATTGTATAAAATAGGGGCTTTATTATCTCATTTTGTACTTGTGGAAACTGAGACACAAAGAAATAACAAGGTCACAGAGCAAATAAATGGTGGAGCAATGAGCCTATGTGATGCAGTTAGTTTCCAGACTTTATGCTCTTAGATGTTACACCATAGACTGTGACCCGCTATGTCTCAGCCTGTATTCACAGCTGGCTGACTCAATCAGTGTGTAGTAATGCAGTTTTTCTCCATAGATGTCATTTATCTCTATGTAAAAAAAAAAACTCAATTCCAAGCTCTGGGCTGTCCCAGGCCAGTCATTGTTCTGACAGCTGCCACTGGTTCAATGAAAATTAGGTAAATGTACATATTTGTCTCAGCAAAACAAATAGTTCTTTCACTGCTAAATATAAAAGTCACTGGGTCTGCTCAGAATGAGAGACAACGATCCTCCTATACAAACTAACAATAATAGTTATGTTGTGCAGGGCACTATTCTAAGCATTTTTTTTGCACGAATCTTCTCAATAACTCTATGAGGCAGAAACTAACATTGTCTCTATTTTACAGATGAGAAACTTGGGATAAAAATTCACTCATTCCCAAATTTACCCAATTTATAAGTAGCAGAGCTGAGATTCAAACTCAGTCAGTCTGTCTTCAGAGTATATACCCTACTTGTATCAGTACCCTATTTGTGCTGTGCTTCTTTGTGTTGACTGAACCCAGGTCTGATTACAAAGTACTGAACTATGATCTCATCTCTTATAATCGTACTTTTTAGTTGAAACTATGTTCATGCATACTTCTGAATACTGTGTGTTTTCTGAGTACTGGGCATGTGCCTATGCACTTAAAATATAATGTAACACTTGTTCATTTCTAAGAACAGAAATTATTTGTTGAGCCCAGGAGAAAGAAAATGAAAAATGATGTAAGTAAAAAGCATGCGCCAAGCACCAGGGCTAAAGGAAGGTAAGAAATGAAAGTAGTTAATTAATGCTAGAAGATTTGGACTAGGCCTTAGGCATATTTACATGCCCGTCTTCTAGTATAGTACCTGCTATATAGATAATACTTGACAAGTATTTGTTTAGCTCTTTATCAATAGTTCCTGTAGGAAGTGATATCTGATCGAGGTTTGAAAATGAGAAAGACTTTGCCAGACCAATCCAAGCAGAAAGACCAGGGTGTACAAAAATCACAGCACCAGGAAGCAGCATAGCCAGACTATATGTACTTCAGTTTTGCTAGATTAGTATGTTAGAGAGCTTGGCAGGGTGAATAATGACCCTTATATGACCAGTTGAAGAACTAAAACTTCATACAAAAGAAAACAGGGAGCAAAAGAAACACTTTAAGTTGGGTGAAGCAAGATCAGAAGCATTTTAAAAGATGAGTTAGCCGCTGTGAGAAGAATGGTAGGTGGGAATTGAGATCTAAAGAAGGGAGACTACTTAGAAAACTTGTACGGTGGGGAGACAGACCCAAAGTATCTCAAAGTGTAACCTCCTTTAGAGAAGACCTCTGCTGGGATCCAGTTATTCTAAGCAGAGGTGTAGACTCCATGTTCCACCCAAGGCCATTCATGAAACCAAAGAACTTGCATTTCCCATGCAATGCTTCAGAACAAGATTCTTTCAACATTTTCTTTTCTTTTTCAGTACTAGGGATTGAACCAGGAACTTTGCACTGGGTCATATACATCCCCAGTCCTTTGAGTTTATCTTGCTTTGCTAAATCACTAAACTGCCAGGGCTGTGCTCAAACTTGAAATCTTCCTGCCTCAGCCCCCTGGAGTGCTGGGATTACAGGTGAATCCTACCACATCCAAATGGAGAGCTGCACTCCTAGGTGCTGGAGTTTGGATCTTCAATGACTATGAAGACTATGTTGGTTTCTTTTTGGTACCAGGGATCAAACTTGAGACCTCTGGACCTTGCGCTTGTGAGGCAGGAGCCAGAACCACTGAGCTAAAGCCTCGGTCTATATGAAGACTATGTTGAAGGTTTGATCACCAGAATGACAGTGTTGGGAGGTAGTGGAGCCTTTAAAACGTGGGGTCTGATAGGTGGCTGAGTCATTGAGGTCGTGCCTTCAAAGGAGAGAGTAGAACCCTGCCCCTTCCTCTTTCTCTCTTTCACTTCCCTGCCATGAGGTGAGTGATTTGCTCCACTACATGCTCCTGTCAGGATGTTGTATGCCTAAGCCCAAAGCCATGAGGCCAATCAGTCGTGGACTGAGATCCCCAAAACTCTGAGTCAAAATCAGTCTTTCCTCTTTTTAAGTTGATTCATCTCAGCTGGAGAACTGATTAACAGCCCTGGGCTGGAGCCATAGAAAAGAGGTCCAAGTCCTCAGGTTATAGCAATGAAAGCCTAGATGTTGTCTGGTGTCACCCCACCCTTGACAACATGAAGTTCATAAGATGGGGACAGGGGGATAAAAAAAATGCAGAAACAATACCACTCATCTAAAGCTTTTCCTCTTCAATGCCATTGCCACCCCTCCCCATTTCTGTGTGTCCTCTTCTTGACTGAAATGCAAGGGGCTGTGATTAGTGGATATGAATTCCTCCTGCTGAATCATGCTACCACTCACTAAAGCCAATCATGGATAAGCTGGTTTCAGTAGTGTCTTTTCCATTATCTTTGTAAGTTCAGAAAGTCTTGGGGATGCCCCCACCATATGCTGTTTCTTGCTTTTCTAGCAAAGCCCACTTTGCTAACGGACTCAGGGGTTCTCTGACAGGAAGAGCTCAATCCCTAAACATTTCAGTAGAGCTTGATAAGCATTAGAATATCTGGTTCTTCCACCCCACTCCAGAAAGTCTGATTCATGAGTCTACAGGGAGGCCCAAGAAACAGTATTTTTAAAAAGTTCCCAAGTGGTTCTAATGTCCACCTAGAGTTGAAAATATAGTTAAACCATGAGCAGAGTGAAAGAATACCCCATATATTCATGACCAAGTAGGGTATTCCCCTGGGCAGTCCCTAAATGAA